CTGGATGCTGACGGTGTGGTGACGGTGGACGCGTTGCTTTTGCAAGAATTGCGCCAAGAGGTGCTGACATGCATCGCCCGGGCAGGGCGCGGGTCCCTGAAATGCGTGGGCGGAATGTACCGCTGCCCGGCTTGCCCCTTTCGAGCTTTCCGCGATTGCTCGCGCGTGGCTCAGCACCTCCGACGCTACCACACCGAGAAGCAGCGGTTCTGCTGTTCTGGAACAAAGCAGTTGCGGGTGCTGCTCTCCATCCACGACACGGACATGCTGGCTGAGAGCCGTGGTGGCCGGTACCTGGAAAGAAGCGCGAAGGTGATCCGCGAGCTTGTGAAGCCTGGGCTTCCCATAAAGAACAACAACATTGATCGAGGCTTCCGATTGGTGCTCGATGCCGGAGGCCCGACACTCATGAACGTGGCCGTCCTAGCCAAGGGCACTATCGCTCGCAGGGTCGGCAAGATCTGGTACACCCGCGCCTTCGCAGAGCGCCTCTTCCAGGAGATCTTGCTGCAGCACGCCAAGGCTGGACCGGAGTAGCAACTAGATCGATGTTAATTTCGCACGAACTATATCCCACGCATCCCTGAGGTGAAGACAGTCTGGCCACGTCTCATGCTTGATTCAGTCAGCGCTGGTAACGTGCTGACCAACTTGCTGCCCGGCCACACTGCGACTTGGTGGCCGTTGGTGGAAGATATCCTCCGATCGCCTGCGTGTGTCGCCTTGAAGCAGAACCTTCTTAGCACTGCGAATAAGCACGGCGAGTATGAGTATTTATCTATAGATGGCACATTCCGAGCTTGCATGATGCTGATGGGCCAAGCTTCCTTCAACGCACCAGCCGCTGAACGAGCAGCGCAGCCATTCACAGACGAAGATAGCTTCCGGCGTGTCATCACTATCCGGGGCAGGAGCGGGGCAGTGCTGGGCTTGGCGCCTGCCATCGGAGAACGCGCAGAGCATATTGTTTCGTGTGTCGTGGATGCTCTTCCAGCAGAAGCCCTGCAGCGTGTCAAGTATGTGGCGTCCGACTGCCCCTCTGCGAAGCTGATGGGGCAGCTCCAAGCAGTTCTACCAAATCTTCAGGCGCTGGTGCTTGATGGAACGCACGCCGCCATGCACTACGAGCAAGCTACCAACGGCCGGAAGACAGCTGGGTCAGCACTTCTGCGGAAATTCTTGGCCAAGTTCTGCCCGAGGGACAACGCGCTGGCTGTTAACATTTGGGGGGCGCCCTACGACGGCTCGCTGCCGGCGCGGCTAAGTGCCCCGGAGAACGCCCTACGGGAGCACATCATCAAGGGCACGCTGGGGCTGCGGCGGGCTCGGCACGTCTTGGCCTCGGTGCTGCCTGGCCTACACGGATTCAGTTCATCGAGGCCGTGGCTGCTCTGGCGCGGGAGCACTCCAAGGACCTGGAGCGCAAGATCGAAGGTACCCGGGAGACGGTGGGCAAAATTCTCTATCACCTCACGGCCGCTGATCGGCTCGAGTGGCTCTTCAACAACTTGCGGCTCCGGACGTCCATGACGTCGGCTGCGCTAGTGCTGCTTCCGTCTGGCACCACGGGGAATGAGGCCTTGCATGCGGAGCTTAACGCAGCCTTTCGCCAGGTCCAGCAGCTGCATCGTAGCACTCTGCAGCTTAAGCTCAACATCTTGCACTTGGCCAAGCTCTTGCCCCACCACGTTGCTCTACACAGCCCCACCGCCAAGCAAATGCCGGCTGGGCATGTCTTAGCGCGACGGGTGGGGACGCCCTTGTGGACAACGAGGATGTGGTCATCGTGGGTGGCTGAGCAGCACGCAAGCGGGGCGGTAGGGCGTTGTAGTTTGCCCCTGGCTGCTCAGCGGCAGATGGAACAGGAGGCCATTCAAGCTGCCCGAGGTCTAAAGCGACCTGCGGCAGGCATGCGGAAGCGCACTCCATTCACCTTGGAGCGGGCGCCAGGGGCAAGCGCAGCAGGAGTGCGCTTCCGCAGGCCCGCCTCGCACGCGCCAAGCTAAACGGGTCAAGAACTGCACCAAGCACTTGACGGCTATGTTCTTGACGCTGCCAGGACAACACTAAGAACAAGAAGAATTTCTATGCAATTGTCTCTCTTTGGGGCACATGGGAAGTCAGCCTCTGCACGCTTTGTAGGGGAATTGCCTCTTGTCTCTGGCAAATCAAAAGTCAGCTTCTGCACGCTCTGTAGGGGAATTGCCTCTTGTTAAAGCGTTTGCGTAGCTGGCGCTCTCTGGCTTCCTTGTGTGGCTCACAGCTTCACGTCGCACATTTGCACGAGATGTAACAGGTCACGCTGGTAAGATATGTGGGTGGCTGGATATATTTAGCTCACACACAGTTTTGTTCTTGTGATGCCGAGAGATGTTCATCACCTAGCAATGCTGGTGTGGCAATCTTTTCGCAGCCTTCTGCAGCCGCCGATGTGGTTGGGCCATTCAGGCTGCTCAAGCAAAATGTCTGGGAGGATGTTTGTTGTTGGTTGCAGCAACCTTCCCGGCCCAACCATAAATCTTTTTCTGCAGTGTGCGCACCAAATGAGAGCGTGCGGCGGAGCATAAAAAAAGACGCATATGCCCGGGATTGCGTCTATCCTGTGTCTGTGCGCATGTGCCTACGTGCCTTTGTGCCTTTGTGCCTTTGTGTGTGTGTGTGTTGCACGGTTTGCGTACCGCAACCTTGGCGCAACACACTGCGCCGTATTGTACGCAATCTTCCCAACCACCGGGGGGGGGGGGGGGGGGGGGGGGGGGGGGGGGGGGTCCACGGCCTGGAACATATATACATATATATATATATATGTATGTATGTATGTACGTATGTATGTATGTAATGTATGTATGTATGTATGTATGTATGTATGTATGTATGTATGTAATGTATGTATGTATGTATGTATGTATGTATGTATGTATGTATGTATGTATGTATGTAATGTATGTATTAATGTAATGTATGTATGTATGTATGTATGTATGTATGTATGTATGTATGTATGTATGTATGTATGTATGTATGTATGTATGTAATGTATGAATGTATGTATGTATGTATGTATGTATGTATGTATGTATGTATGTATGTATGTATGTATGTATGTATGTAATGTATGTATGAATGTATGTATGTATGTATGTATGTATGTATGTATGTATGTATGTATGTATGTATGTATGTATGTATGTATGTATGTATGTATGTAATGTATGTAATGTATGTATGTATGTATGTATGTATGTATGTATGTATGTATGTATGTATGTATGTATGTATGTATGTATGTATGTATGTATGTATGTATGTATGTATGTATGTATATGTAATGTATGTATGTATGTATGTATGTATGTATGTATGTATGTATGTATGTATGTATGTATGTATGTATGTATGTATGTATGTATGTATGTATGTAATGTATGTATGTATGTATGTATGTATGTATGTATGTATGTATGTATGTATGTATGTATGTATGTATGTATGTATGTATGTATGTATGTAATGTATGTATGTATGTATGTATGTATGTATGTATGTATGTATGTATGTATGTATGTATGTATGTATGTATGTATGTATGTATGTATGTATGTATGTATGTATGTATGTAATGTATGTAATGTAATGTATGTAATGTATGTATGTATGTATGTATGTATGTATGTATGTATGTATGTATGTATGTATGTATGTATGTATGTATGTATGTATGTATGTATGTATGTATGTATGTATGTATGTATGTATGTATGTATGTATGTATGTATGTATGTATGTATGTATGTAATGTATGTATGTATGTATGTATGTATGTATGTATGTATGTATGTATGTATGTATGTATGTATGTATGTATGTATGTATGTATGTATGTATGTATGTATGTATGTATGTATGTATGTATGTATGTATGTATGTATGTATGTATGTATGTATGTATGTATGTATGTATGTATGTATGTATGTATGTATGTATGTATGTATGTATGTATGTATGTATGTATGTATGTATGTATGTATGTATGTATGTATGTATGTATGTATGTATGTATGTATGTATGTATGTATGTATGTATGTATGTATGTATGTATGTATGTATGTATGTATGTATGTATGTATGTATGTATGTATGTATGTATGTATGTATGTATGTATGTATGTATGTAATGTATGTATGTATGTATGTATGTATGTATGTATGTATGTATGTATGTATGTATGTATGTATGTATGTATGTATGTATGTATGTATGTATGTATGTATGTATGTATGTATGTATGTATGTATGTATGTATGTATGTATGTATGTATGTATGTATGTATGTATGTATGTATGTATGTATGTATGTATGTATGTATGTATGTATGTATGTATGTATGTATGTATGTATGTATGTATGTATGTATGTATGTATGTATGTATGTATGTATGTATGTATGTATGTATGTATGTATGTATGTATGTATGTATGTATGTATGTATGTATGTATGTATGTATGTATGTATGTATGTATGTATGTATGTATGTATGTATGTATGTATGTATGTATGTATGTATGTATGTATGTATGTATGTATGTATGTATGTATGTATGTATGTATGTATGTATGTATGTATGTATGTATGTATGTATGTATGTATGTATGTATGTATGTATGTATGTATGTATGTATGTATGTATGTATGTATGTATGTATGTATGTATGTATGTATGTATGTATGTATGTATGTATGTATGTATGTATGTATGTATGTATGTATGTATGTATGTATGTATACTTATATATATACATATATATATATATATGCGTGTCGTGGTTCAGCTATCAGAGCCATAGCAAGGGGCGCCATTGCAACCATTGCTTTCCAATCTTGGAATGCCATCTCGATCCACATGGTTCCCGTCAAATGGCTCCTTTGCAACAAAACAAAAACGCTCCAAACCAGAACCCCCAAACCAGCTCCATGATCAGCTCGAGTCATGGAGGCCCGCCGACTCCGCCGAGTCAGCGAAAACGGCCGAGCCGGCGAAAGCGGCGCCCTTCAGATCCAGAGCCAGCGCTGGGACCTCGGCTGGGCAAAGGGTGGGACTTGCTTGGCGGAAGTGCTTCCGGAGTCTTCGATTTTCAGGGAAACTGTGGTCGGGGGGGCACAGAAGGTTCAAATTCGGATTTTCTCCTTTGAGAATCCATATAGATATATTTTGGGGTAAACTAGAGTCAGAACACGTTTTGCTTGAATTGGCCAAGAAGCAGTGAGAAGCGGATGATGGAGGGAGAGCGGTTTGAGGGGCTCGGTTTCAATATGTTTGTTTTTTAAAGCGCCTTGGGGCCTGGGGCCTCGGAAGCAAACTGATGCCAGATACCAGTGGTCCTGACTGAATCGTAACCTGGCAGATTCATGGGTTGCATCTGCAGTGGAAACAAAAACAAAGTTCCCAAGCCCTGTGCACCATGGACGTCCTCCGCGGCTGAAATGCCGCCTGAGACATATCTTCACTAGTCTCAGGATCGACTTTTCGGGGACCCCGTTTTTTTGTTGGTCAAGGTCTCAGTGTTGGTTGTGAGTCAGCGAAAACGGAGGTAAAAAGACCCAAGCCATGGGGTCGCCCAACCCGCGGCGCGGAAACAACAACACCCGTTTGTGTTGCCGGTCGCCTGTTGATACCCCCCCCCCCCCAAAAAAAAGGAGAAGACGGAGGACCAGCTCTCCCTTTGGACGTGACGAGAAAGCTTCTCGGGGCGCCGAAACGACGCATCGGCGAGGTGAGCCGGGTGATCCCGGCTGAGATCACGCAGGACGCGGGGCTCAACGCGGCTATTGCCGCCGGGCTCCCACGAACCCATGACTTTGAGGCGTGACATGGCCCCGGAGAGGGGGCGGGGGGAGCGGGGGGCGGAGGGGGGGGAGGGGGGGCGATCGACGTCAACATCGCGGTTCCAATAGGTCCTGGGCGCTGCATCTGAGTTGGTTGCGGGCAAACACGTTTGAACACCTATTTGCTAGTTGGTCCGTAGTTGGTTTCGCGTGGCCAGTTTTCTCCGGAAAATCAGCCAACCGATCTGAGTGTCCTAGATTTTGCCCTGCTACGTTTGGGTTTGGGTTAGAGAATCCGATTGCAAGGGCTGCATCACCCCAAGCTGAAGCGCACCGAGTCACTCACGTCGATTCCTCTCACCCACTTATTGTACAGGACAAGGTTGAATGCAGCTGTTCTTTGGTTTCACAATTCCTTCTGTTAAAAAAAACATTCCGGCACATGACCAGGTGTTGCTACAAGGTTTTGCTACAAAGGTATGGGCTCTCAAAGCGAGCGGCTGTTGGCATGGTTGGTATCATGGTAAGGTGCGACGATCCAGATTTTGTTGCTGCTTGTTTTCGTCATGTTTAGAAATGTTAGTTGCCTGGGCTTGATGATTGCTCAGAAACCCCAAGATGATTCCCCTGCTATGAAAAGTGGTGCAGGATTTGGTCCGACTGTATGTGGATGTGTCTGAGATCCCTTCCCTGGATAGCAGAAGCTTCTGGGCAGTTAACGGCAAACTGTGATTTTGCAACTGGTGCTCGTCCAAAGCGACCCAATCTCAGCATTTCGTGCAACTGCTTCACTCTTGCCTATAATGGAACCAGCTGGTTGCACCAAAGATATCCACTCGCATATTGAGTCACTCGGCCAACAGATGATTCTGCTGCGCCAGTCTCAAGTGACGAAGCCTGAGCCCAATGCGTTGCTCTTCTTGCCATGAAACTACCAAGCGCACAGATCGATCAGACGCCCACATGAACCTACAACCATAGTGGACTCTCTGGGAGTTGCTATCCCACAATTCAGCAATGCTTCATGATCTCCAATGGGTGCAGCGGCTCAAAACAGTCGGTCTGGCTCAAGAGCGACCCAGACCTTGTCCCAGATGTTTGGCTGACTTGCAGCAACTTCGTTCCAGACCAGCTGATTAGAGGCGATGACCACAAGCGTCAAGCGTCCCTTGGGCTTGCCTAGTTCGGGTTGGTGTTCTTTAAGTGCTTGCTGAATGTTGGTTTGTGAATTGTCCTCCCATTGCTAGGGGGGTGTTCCCTTCAAAGTAATGAATCCCCACGAATTGGAGACATTCTGTGGATGGACGAAATCCTGCACCACTTTGAAACCATGGAAAACCATTGTTTGTTGGTATCTACAGGGGTCTTATCATAAGGGTTCCTAGGTGGTGCGAAATGGATTCCGTCCATCCACAGTAGGTGTCCTTTTGATCGGGCAATTTGGTTAAAAAAAGATGGATTTCACTGGTTTAGACGGGTTTTTATGCCACTAGGTTTCCCTGGTGCCCTTTTACCCGGTTCCGCGACTAAAATAGACTACAGAACAAAGTTGGTACCCTTATTCTAGCCTCTCTACTGGACCTAGGCCATCCATTCACCAGGGAACCCTACATTATGCAGACCTTTGATTTCCAGCTTTTCGACTCAGATCCACCGATCCATCTGGAAGCTGCGCCGAGCTGGCGCGCGTCACGTAGGCGCCTGCGGTCCGTGGTCCGGGTTTTGTTGGGCCCAATGGCAGTTGCGGTTGTTCTTAACGGAAAGCCTTGGTTGCTATTGGGGAACGGATCTTGAGACTTTGACCGTTTGGTTGACGGCAAATTTGTTTTCCGAATTGAACCCACGTCAAGTGAAACTTTTTGCAGAGGGGTCAACGGCAACAAAGAACGCAGTCGATTAAGAAGCCAGCCATAGATTGTTTTGGGGAACTCCGCCCCGTTTAAGCCGCAAGTTGCGGTAAGAAACAATCAGTTTGGTTTTGGCGGGATGCTGGTGTGATGTTTGTTTGTCTGTCTGGTTTTCTGTCTGTGTGTATGTCCGTCTGTCTGTCTGTCTGCTTGTTTGTGGATTGGTTGGTTGATGTTGGTTGTGTTTGTTGCGGTTGGTGACCCACGTGAGCGGTTTTAGTGAATGTTGCTCAGTCTTGCACCGGCTGGTAAAGGACAATCCCGCCGCAACTAGGTCACGTGGTCTTGCAGCCTGAGTTGAGCCCCAAGGGAACTTTTAGTCTAGGAGTACTTTGGGAGGTTGCGGAGAGACCAGCCGATTTGCTTCAAGACCAAGAGCAGCCGGAGTCATGTTGGGAGACAACGCCGGATAAGACCCGCATTTGGCGCCAGCCGAAGAATGCAGCTACTGGGAACTCATCTGAAATTTCAATCTTCAGCAGTGCCGTGTGTTCTTGGTTGTTTTTGACTTACTGCATATTGGTGGTTTGCAATGGTGGTGTGGGAGTTAGTTCGGGGCTTGCTTTCGCATTGCAAGTTTGATTTCAAAACCAATGCAGACGTATCCATCAAGTTTGGACGATTTCCGGCCAACTCAGCAAGTGTGTTTATCAGGTTGCCCCTAATTTAACTTGCTTAGATTCAATAGTCATGCAAAAGCTTATTAAATGATGGGGCTGAGTCTCATACATGAATCTGACCCTTGAACAAAGATGTGTTATTGTTGGTTACGGTCCTCTTTCTCTACTGGGGTCGCTGAACTGAACAATCCATCAAGAGTCCACCGTACAAGAGGCTAAACATTTACTAGCATTATCCACCCACAATCATGACTATGATTGGTTTTAAAGCCCCCCTTAACCCAACTCTACTTGCCATCCTTTCCACTACCATTCAACCCAACAGATGGCTGCTGTTGAAGGAAAATAGTCTTCCAGGACCCCTCAGTCTGGTTCGAGGGTTTTTTAGGTGTGCTTTTTTGAGAGTACCCGCCTTTGGTTTGTTGGTTTTGAAGGGAACCTTCAAAAGTTGGAGTTTCAATGGAAACCACCGGTAAATGGTAACATTTGGAAGGGAAATCCAGCAAGCCCTGTTGAGCTGACACCGTTGAGACCTATCCTACCAGATTCCAGGTCCCCCAGAAAAAAGCGACAAGTTCCCCGCGTTGACCTGTTCCTTCTGAGGGCTTCAGCTGCCGGAGGGTCTGCAGGGCTGGGCGCGGAGCCTTGGGGAGTGGTGTGGTTGGACCAGTACCCTTTTTCGGGGGAGGGTTCCCCTGCTAAAATAGACTACGGAAAAAAGAGTACCCTTATTCTAACCTCTACGGGAGGACCTAGTTGCTTACTCCCAACAGCTAGACGCTCAGAACCACTCTGGAGCCTATTTGAGCAGAGACCCCATTGCTTCCAGTGGGGAAAAAGTCTATCGGCACAAAAGGCGAAACAGATATTAAAGATAAGCCAAACAAGTGGGTTAAGGAAAGCGCAAGTTTCAAAAAGGGGGTTTGTCCCCGTAGTATTTGCACCACTGCTCACGGACGGTGCATCAGATGCATCGGATGTCAAAACCCCGTGGGCTTGCCATTTGACTCGGTACGACTTGGGTCAACGCTTGGAGTTTCGTTTCTCAGAAGCCGCCAGGAACCAACAGTTGGTACCAAATGCTTGTTCCTGCCGCCAGGTGCCATCAATGCTTGGCATCAAGAGTCAAAAAAACATCATGTTGGGAGTCGTTTCTAGCTGGAACCCCAGTTTGGAGTCACTCACCGTTTCTTGGGGACCCCTAAAGATGGACACACCCACATGTTGAGTGCTCAAGGATCATGCGACAGGCGTTTCAGATTTTCTAACTCGAAGACTCGAAGAAGTCTGCAGGAAATTCAGGAAGTTGAGCAAAACGCGGGTAGTCCATTTGCTGAAATAGGAAACTGTTTTTCCCCTATTATGTGAAAGGGGAATCTATCATGGGGCTGAGCAAATGGAGTTATGTGATAGATGTTTGGCTAACTTCCTGTGGAGATTCCTGGAGATGAACTTGAACTCTTGGAAACTGTGCGGACACCCCCCCCCCCCGCCTCGGCGGTGCAGTCAAATGTCAGCTGTTCCACGAATCCTCAGAGCTCAGCTGACAAAAGCCAAGACCTGGGAAAGTGTGCAAACCTCAATCAGAAACCTGAGGCTCTAAACTCTGTTGAGGAGGGCCAACGTGTACGTTCTTTGTTTTCTTTTTGGGGGGGTATCTTTTGGGGGTGGGTTTACGAATTTACGAAGCCAAAGGGAAGACAACCATTCTAGGGTCCCCAGTTTGTAAGACACCCCCATGTCGAAAGAACAACTAAGTCTCGTTGACCCCACTTAGAAGCGCTCACGCTGGAAACTCTGTCGAAGTTCCAGGCCTGTCAAAAGCAGAGTCTGGGCAAAACATGCCTAAGGGTCAGCCCAGCCTTGCTTGTGACCCCTGTCATTGCAGACCAATTGCATAGTCGTGTTTACGACTGCTTGGTTGTTTCGCACGTTCACCGGAAAGTCGTCGTGATTCTGAGAAGCTATGTGCAAAGTGAAGCCTGAAGTTTGTGCATGCGCTCTGAAACGATTTTGCACTTCTGGCTAATCCTTGCAGTGCCACTTTCAGCCAACCGTTTGCGCCGCCCTTTGCTGCAACGTTGAAGTTGGTGCCTGTGGACAAGTGCTTTTCGCTGGCCATCGCGTTTGCCAATGCTCATGGGAAGTGGTAGACACATTGCAAGGTTTGTTGCACGCTGACATATGGCTGTGGCTCAAAAATCCGGTACCAAAATGGGTTGCCCTGGTAAGTGGAAACATGGACCAAAACCTGCGTAACCCCTTCTGTTTAATTTTGAGCCACACCCATATTGCTATTCTTTCTTCCGACCACTTTTCTGCCTGGAGTCCTTTGCTTGTGGCCTTCCCTTTAGGCTGTTTCTTGTTTCTACCTTTCTCTCGGTGGTCCTTCTCCTTGGCCTTGCTCAGCTCTGGAAGCTTGCGCAGCTTGCGCATGTTGTTAGAATCACGAACTCAATGTGTCGTTTTAGCCAGTGCCTTGGCAGCTGCCTTTGCAGAGACTGCTGAAGGACCAAAGGACGAGTCAGGGCCCTTCGATTCGAAGACGAAGGCTGTGGCTCTTAAGCCTTACGTTAGCCCTATGTTGGCCCCATATATATAAGCCTTATATACGGCCAGCCCTTTGTGGCGCGTACCCTTCTACCTTGGCACGTGTGTTTTTCCTTGAATTAATGCAAGGATCATGCATCCGTCACTGAGACCGTCCCGAACAATTCAGTGCTGACAAGGAAAGGGGGCACATGACTTTCACTCAGGTGGGAGGTACCTTCGCAGGCTAGCCTTACCTGTTGGAAGTTTATTTGCGGACTTTCTCAGACATGCTAGACCATGATCGCCATGCACTCGAAAGAATTTATCACACATCCATTCTGACCACGCATGCATATCATTTAGCCACAAGCGGCATCCAGCACAGACGCACCAGGTTTCAGTCAACCCGAGTACTATCTCAGGGCCATGGTTTCCCCTGGGTAGACAGAGTAAACCCCGAAGCCCTGAGGCGACAGCCCTGGCAGACATTCTGTGCAACTTTGCGCCCAGTGTGCTGCCAGCCTGTTTTCGGATGAAATGCGTTTGGTTTTGCCAAAGGGCCTTCCTTTTGATAGGGTCGGCCTGAAAGAGATAGCAAGAATCTTAAGCGGTTTGTGTACACCTATTTCCCCGTGGGTAGTGATTCAGGGTTCACTACAATTCCAATTAAACACCCCCCAAGGGTACAACATTGGTGTTCATAAATTGCTTGCTGATATCGTTTTCAGCACCTGTATATGCTTGGAACCAGATTCCTCTTGGTTTTCCTTCAAACGTACCCCTGCTTTGGCTTGGCTTAAAGGGAAACCAAACGGACAAGCACAATTTTGGTGGGGTCCAACCGTAAAAAAGCACGCCAAATATGGGGTCCCGTCCTTGTAGACACACTCATGTTCGTCTTTGTGCACGCCTTAAGCTGGAGGCACATGCATGTTTTGCCACCGGAGAAGCAGGGCACTTTTGAGGATTATTGTAATTTTGGGTAATAAGCTCAATACAGACCAGAATCTGAGCATCGTGTTTGTTTGTGTAGCCCAGATATGGGCCAAGTCTATGCACAAGAGACCCAGTCATGGTCATCTTCGAGTCCACTTGCTCTGGGACTACGTGATGGAAGCAGCGCTGGGTAAAGCAGCGTCTGAAGCAGATTCTGCAGGTAGCCGCAGGTTTGTGTCCGTTTCCAGGCCAAGGCTGAGGCCTATCCCAAGCTAGTGAAAGCTCTACATAGGCTGTTGTCAAATTCCATGCTGTGGCTATGATGATCTAGCGCAATCTAGAATTGAACGTGGATACACAAGCAGCATTCCCCAGACTGCATTGCAACCGATGTTTGAAAGCCATTCACCACACACATGCAAAGCACGTCACGGTTGGTTTTGTTTGAAAGAGGTACAAATAATCTCAGAGAATCGATAAAATACCTATGGCAGTTTCCTCGAGCTTTGGCGAGAGAAATGCCCTTCGTGAGTCGCTAGTGAAGCTCAGCTTTCGATTGACCTTTGGAGTTCCTGAGGGATGCGAAGCATCTGGCTTTGGATGTGAGGTGTTGGCCAAGACCTAAAAGAAGTGGGTTCCCACACAACTCCAGGGAGTCATGTTTAGATGGCTCTCTTGAGACAAACATATTGCCCTCTTTGATTGTATTTGGCGAACCTTCACCTGAAAGCAACCCAACACATTGGTCACTGTATCTGAGTGAATTGTTACACACACACACACACACATCCCTCACCCAACAAACACACAACGGCGGTTGGCATGTTGTGTTGGCCTTTTCTTTTTTCTTGTTTTCGCAAACCCGTTGGATACCAAGTTCAGGTCTCCAGGTTCCAAGCGACGCTCACAGCTACCAGGTTCAGACGGCCACGATCTTCGGGGACGTGACCTTCGGCGCCTGCTGCATCGACGATTTGGGGGCCGGCTCGGATCGCGGATCCGTCGGATCCGTCGGCGCGGATCGGGGGGTCGGCCTGGGGAGACTACGGGAACCCCAGCGGGAGATTCATGGGAAACCCAAGGGGCCAGCTCCGATTTCTGTCGGTTTTTGGGTTTCAAGCAGCATTTGCTTCTTGGCGCTCTGTGAAGATGCCTTGGGGTGATGTTGTGCAGGGAAAACCCCCCAATGTGTTCCCTTTTTGGTTTCAAACAGCACCTTGTTGGCTCCGGGGTGATGCCTCAAGGGCAAATATAGGGGGGAACCCTGTTTTTTTTGGGGTTCAGTGGCGGGGCTTTTGGGTTCCTGTTCGGAGGCTGTGTGGGTGGTGGGGATGGACGATTCTGGCGTTGCGGAGGTTCTGGGTTGAGTGGTGTGTTGCATAGTTGCTTTGGAAGCTTTTCTGTTGGATATGTCTAGCGGTAGGCGTTTCTCTCGGGCACTGTTTCTCGCTGGTATGTGAGCTGAGATTTGCTGCTGTGGTTTGCATGCATTGCTTCAGGGATTGTGTGATCATTGGCTAATAAACAATGAACATATTTGAGCCATGCTTGTCCAGCACCCATACTGCTTGGCCTTTTGCCCTTCGGCACGAGCCACTTTGTGCACTGCAGGCGTTCTTCTGAAGTTGATAGTGTGAGCGTGGCCGGGCATAGAGCCGAACCTTGCGTTTTCAGTGGAAGGTTTAAACAAACTTTAGGGTGGGTGCTCGAAAGAGTGCCTTGCAGAGTGTTGCAAGGATGTCAGCACCCAACTTTTCTGTTTGATCAGCAAACAGCCGTTGTGAATTCCATTGACCTGCGTCCAACCGTCAGCGAAGGCGAGCGCGCTGGGGGTGGACTTTTTGATCCACTACGGCTACTCGGCGAGCATGAGTTTGGTTTAGGGCTAACATGCTTCCATTTGCTGAACAATATTTTACCCTGTTGGTTTCAATTTTCCAAGGGAACTGTAGCAACTGGAAGTAACACCTTTTGGAAACTAAATGGTTTTTCCATTTAAACATTAACACCAATTGCAATTGGTCGATCACAACCTTTTGCTCGGGCTTGGAGCACCCCAGTTAAGCCAGCCGGAGGTGCAAGCAGGTAGGCCGGCGCTTTTTGTCAGCTCTGAGGCCACTCCTGCATAGCCGGAGCCTCGGGGAGACAGACACAAAAGCTGACGAATGGCATACCGTTTGGGGTTTATTCCCCAAAATGCTGACAACTGAGGAAACATACAAATCACCAAAGCTGACAAATGGGGAAACGTCCGCGGTTGGACAGCGTGGGGGAAGGAGCCGAAGCGCTCGACACAAGCATGAAGGTTGCATCAATCTAAACGTGCGATGCCCCTTTCGAATATATGTTGGGGCGCGAAGGGAACACCCAGCTTGCTGGTGGAGGGGCCCCAAATTGACACGTTGACTGGTCCTACCTGACCAGCGATTCAAGATGGCCGCTCAGGCGACAAAGAGCTTCTCCGAGACTGGTTTCCTTTTGTTCATTTTTCTTTTTCAGGGATCAAGTTTCTACCCCAGGGTGCTAGCAACACAGGACATGAGACAAGCGACCCGAATTGATCAAATCAACTTAAGTTCCATGGTGCAATTCAGTCCGGCGAGTTTAGCTCCAAAGTATGCTTTTCTGTGCCCAGACGACTTTTGCATGAGTCAACCGCCAATTTCCCCAAAGAGAAGGATCGCCACACGCGCACACAGCCAACACATTCATGGCGTGGCAAGTTGATTAGCGCTGCGCAATGGGTATGCAGGAGATTCCGGGGGATAAACGGAACCTATCAGCAATACTGGAACACTCACAGCTCAACCGCCACCTTTCGACTTTCGGCTTAACCTTGTTGGTTCATGTTGAGTCATGGCCCCAAGAGGAGGACATTATTTGGTTCGCTCCTTTGGGCAACTGAGAATGTCTTGGAATGGGCTTACGACCTAGAGAGAGGTGCTCTTCGCCGCAAATCGGATACCCAAGCTTCTGGAGAATTGACATGCCTACCTGAAACTGTCTTAACATGCTTCTTCACAGCCATGGTTCTCTTTGAAAGAGTGTCGGTTCTACTCAGCTCGTTTTGAGTTCTTGTTGTGCATAGTTGGCTAAATGATCATGCATGATACTCCCAGCATCCTGACTGAATTTAGCTCAAAAGTACCCCACAACCGCACTCCATAGGTTGATCAACGGGTCCTTGACATGGGATGATCATTGGTTGGAAAACCACCAAACAGATATCCATGGTCATTTGGGGGGCCGAAGGGAATATTGATCAACCCCATAGGCCGAATCGTCGAATCGGCTCAAGTGAATCGGAGGTGCCGACTGACCAAACCACAGTGACCACCCTCTACATCCACGTGGAGGCTGGAGAAAGTGGTGCGCATGGTTGAAACCACACAATTGTTACACCCGGGAATCGAATGACCAGTCATCAGTGGTGGCGAAATGGATGTTTCAACCCTCCCCCTAACTTCTCAGGAAGGTTCGGTATGCGGCCGTAGAGGTGTCCTTTCTAGGTTAGTTTGGAGCCAGAAATAGATGGCTTCCACTGGTTTCGGATGGGTCTTACATGTACCAGCGGCATCGATTTGTCCAAGAGGTCGCCTAGGCTTACGGCCATAGCTCTGGTTTCTTTTGAAGCCCTGGACAGCCATTGCGACGTTTCCTGGCTCGGACGGCCTGCAGCCGCATGTTTCTTGTGCTGATACGTGCCGCTTTGGTCCAAATGCCAGGATCTAGAGGCTTTTTCATAGATGTGGATTCTCCGTGAAATTTGGGTTGCACGTTGAGGTGTACCATAGAATGACATCATATGGATCAGACCGTCAGACCCTGACATGTTGAATCCTGATGAAGAGGAAAGACGGGGTAGATTCCTATTCCGGTTCTGAGGACGCGCCCTTGTTTCTATGTTGCGACGACGCAAGTCTGAGACGTTTTGACCCCAACAGAGTTTGCAGGGTCAGCTATATAGAGAAAACATAACATGCATGCCGGCTTTGCGGCAAGCTCACCTGGAGCCTGACACGAAGGCTCTATTATTCTATGATCTAGCCCTGAAATCAGGTTTGAAAGTCTTATAAACCTTGCGTACTGCGGGTGGACAAAGTCCATCTTGCACCACGAAATGAAACCGTGGCTGAAACTGTTGTTTGTCGGTATTTGTATATGGGAGTCATCAGAAACCAGGGTTTCTTAGGTACTGCGAAATGGTTATTGTCCATCCACGGTATGTTTCTTGTGGGTCCAGAACTTGATTTGTTAAATAGGGGTTAAACGGGATGGGCCAAAGGAACATTGGCCCAGGTTCGAATTGCGCCTCACTCCCGGCGGTTCTCAGTGTGAACCCGGTCTTTTGGGTTGGTGAAGTATGAGATTCCGAGATTTAGTGCCTTGTAAGAGAATGAGAGAAGGAAATTCACATTGGGTTTTAAGAGTTTCCTTGAACATTCAGACGAAGTCCCTTCGTAAATATCATGAGTCGGCTCGGTGATGTCAGGGATTTGTGCTGGTCAATCGATCTGGTTGTTGCAGACCCACATGTAGGTCAAAGTTCCAAGAGAAGATCTGGGTACCCCTCTTTGGTGGCTGCAAAAGAACACCCACAAGGAAGCCATGCCTTGTTTGGGGGCTTCCCCTATGAAGACAAGCCCATATATCGGTCAGGTGGAGGTGAATGTGGATCACTTGGTGGACACGGTCCTTCACAATTTTTCGCCTGAGAAGCGCCTGGAGCTCGTTCACGGCTCGGGGTTGGCGGTTGACACTTGGTGCTGGCAGGTTTTTTTTTGCTTGACCGTGGTCTTCAGGTCAAGCTGTCAAAAAAAAACGACCCAAACAAACTCTTGGGGTACCAAAACCAACTTCCCAAGACCATCTCAAAAAGGGTACTGTCCAAGAAACTTTAGCTTCCCAACTCCGCGAGCCACCAACAAATGCAATTTGCTCTTTTGACCGGGGAGGTCGGGGTTTTCCTTACACTGTTGCCAGCCAAATCCGTCGCGGGGGGGGGGGGGGGCGACTTAATTTTCGGGAAGGTGTCAAAGAAACACCCCAACTGGCTACTCGCGGTCTCCCAAATAGCACTCAGTGTTTGTTTTGCATGGGACCGTCCCCAAAAGCAATGGCTACGGTGTTTTTTTGGTTTCCCAGAAACACACCAACCAAAAGGTGGTTCACCCCAGAAAGAAAACACCCATGCTTGTCTACTATCTAGCATAGCATGCTTCGCCAAGAAACTAAGGAAAGTTAAAGAACTCGAGGAATTGATCGACCATTTCTGCTGCTGAAATCTGTTTCCTTGCACCCCTTTTTGTGGGCATTGTTTTCAACTTGTGACTCAACATCACGTCTTTTGGCAATCTATTTGAAATGGCCCCAAAGCTGCTGTTCCATGTGTTTTGTCGTTGGCGGCACGCCATTTTTTGCATCACTGGCGATGGGTAGTCATCAGGAGCGTGTTGAGATTGCAGAAAGCACCTGCAGCAAAGACTTATTGCTGGAGGCCTAATGTGTAAACTGTCAGGCAGCAGCATAGTTGCCCAGACACGCACACGTAGTGCTTGGCGGGTTATGTTCACTTCCATGCTGAAGGAGTGTTTGGGCATGAAATCCTCACCTAACCTCCAATGCACCCTATACAATCCTTTCATCACCTATGAAATCCATGAGTATGTATTGGATCTTCCTTTTGACCATCCTCTAGACCATCTATGACCAGTAAAATCCTCAAAGAGTTTTTCTGTGAGTTTAGGTGGGCTATCAAACTCCCCTTTTTAGCGCCCCTTCTTTGGGCCTTTTTTTTTGGTCACCGAAATGGGTCCAGAGGTTTTTGTCAGCCGTGGCCAGAGGTCTTTGTCAGCCGTGCCAAGGCCTCGCCTTCATGAGCAGCGTGCAGTTCTCCTCTGGCATGATGCAGGCATTTCAGATTTGCGTCTCCAGTTGCTTAAGAATATGGCGGGGGCTCAAATAAATGTACCAAAATTGCCTTTTGGCAAATGGAGCCAAAGACTAAAAGCTGCGCAACCCCAGCTCTTTATTTTTGAGCCACACCCATATGAATTTAGTTCCCCCTGAGCCCGGGCTCTCGCCGTCCCGTGGAGACCACAACAAGGCTATTCCCCGCCTGTTGGTTGTAAAGATAATCTCGTACTGGAAACTATGTTTAATTTTGCCAGGGGACTCAAGCAACTGGAGGTCGTGGCATGTCAAAGCTTAAACGAGAAGTCTCGCTCGCCCAAAGCAAATCCGCTTGACCTTTCATAGTTGCCGCCGCTTGGTCCGTTTTTTAGTCATGGCACCAAAAGGTTTACCTTTTTTTGTTGGTCCTTTGGGCAACTGAGAAGTGGTCAAAAGTGCATCTGACTTGAGGCCAATAACAAGGAGAAGGTGTTCGACACTAAGCATCTACTCCAAAGGGAAGCCTGCGACAAAGAGCAGTTTTTGGCGACCACCATGATGTAAGTTGCATTGCTTTCAGCTGAAGGTGTCATGGAAATGCCTTTGGTTGATGCGGTTGCCACGAGCGGGTTAAGGTCCAACCTGAGCTTACTCGCCACCCCCGGCTCGTGCCTACCACTCTGCATATTGGGCTCACCGAACCGGGGATAGCATAAGCTTGATTTACAGTAGCAGTGGCAGACCACTTTTGGAAGCGTCAGGGACCTGGCAGCAAGTCTTGTTCGATGTGAGAAGTTGAACTTGGTTGGCCGATGTTGGCCGTGCTCACAGTTGGGACGCCCAGGCGTTCCCATGGTTGATCCGCCCACAGAAGCGCCGGCAATCAAGAACGTGCTCGACAAGAGCGAGACACAGGATATGTATTGATGGTGGATGAAATCCTGCACCACTTTGAAACCATGGAAAACCAGACTTGTTGTTCTTTGCGGGAATCATCATTCCAGGGTTCCTTAGGTGGTGCGAAATGGATTTCGTCCATCCACTGCATTATTTACGTCTTGTCAACGCGGCAAAGCGCCCCTCCCCCACAGCCTGGTGTTTAGGCCTCCAGGCGCACGGCGGGTCAACAAATCTGGTTACCGCGGCCACCGTTTCTGCACAAGGAAGTAACACAAATAGTGGCTGACATTACTGAGTTGTCCAATCGTTGAACCACGCAAGATTAGTGACACCGGGTGGCTTTCCTTGGAAGTCCCTCTAAAAGAAGAAGAAGGCAAAACGCAATTGCTACCAACAAAGGACCCATCGTGTGTTTTTTCCAAAAGGTCTATGCGTATCAGAACTTTCGGGTGGGAAGCTTCACCCAAAACGCCTTCGCAGGCCGTGGAGCGCCTGCGAAAGGAAGAGGCGCGGGAAGCCGGGTGGGAGCCTCCCCAAGGAAAACAAAGGAGACCCAACAAGTAGTTTGGCATATCCAGAAAATGCCAGGAAAGGCAACAACGAGAGCGTTGGTTTTTAGGGGAGAAATCCCCCATGGCGGTTTTCCTGTTGGGCTGTCCTTTAAACCAACCCTAAAAGGGGAGAAATTGAGAAGGACAGACCCATACATATATGTATGTATATATATATTAATATATACGCATCAGTCTAGGCATAGCGGGCACGTAAATATATATATATATATATATAGAAATCTATGTTTTGTGTTGGCCGTAAGCAGGAGGAGGCCGCCACCGTTTTGGGACATGCTTGAATGGGGACGCCCAAAGCATAACCGAGGCTCTCCTGTTGTGGACCACTTCACGCAGAGGATATGTCCAAATAGGGCATATCCAGGAGATAATGAATTATTGAACATTGTAGAAGGTGTTGTTTAAAAAGGAATCTAAAGGGGTGTTCTTGGAAACGCATCAAGACGAAGCCAACCATGTTGTGAAAGTAGATGGGCCAGCTTCCCCAGTCAGGTTGTACCATCCCGTTTGCTCACCGACAAGCGGAATGCCGTCTACTGTCCCACTAGAGGCGAGAGATCGCTGCAAGGAGTTGTCTTGCTAGCAACCGAAGTCGATATGCAAACACTTATTCAAAGATTCGATCAGAGGAATGTTCAATGTTCAAAATGACCAGAAAAATATATCAATAGAACTGTGGTTGGGTCTCACGGTCCGACACTTTGGAGGTATTCAATCCTTGGATCCATGGGAATGCTTGGCGGTTGGCGACTCGGCCCGGACCGCGACGAGGCTGACAGTCACTGTTTCGGGTGACAAGCCAAAACTACGGAATGTTGACCCCGGATGAATCAACCTTTTTTATTGGGTGTCCCTGGTTTTAGTGGGGATTCGTCACTTTTGGACTTGAACACTACCCAAAAAGGCCTTCCAAATGACAAATCCTTCTCACCAACCATGGTGTAACAGAAGTGGGAACCACCCCCTCTTACCCACAAACCCAACCCAAAGTGCTGGCGTTGGTGTTGGATGCTCGGCAACACAACGGCCCTCACGCCCACCAACTTCTTTCATCTGGGGCAGCAGCATATTGAAAAGCGTCAACTACCGTAGATCTACTGCAGCAACAAAATATTGGATGCGAAACTACTGTGGATGGACGAAATCCTGCACCACCTCAGAGACCCTGGTTTCGGATGATTCCCCTGCAAGTACCAACAAAGAATGGTTTCCCATGGTTTCCAAGTGGTGCGAAATGGATTTTGTCCATCCACAGTATGTCATCTATGTCGTCCTAAGTTGCCGAGGCAAGCCCTGCCAGCCTCAATTGCTTGGTTTTGCGCCTTTCCGGCACGAAGCCTGAAATCCGCTGACTGGTGGTGAAACCCTATGAATATTGGAATACACCACCTACCAACTGGTGATTTCATGCATCCACAGTAGCAGGATGGTTGCTAAATCTATGTGGCCGCCTCTCTCTCTAACTATGGAGTAGAAGCTTGGCTTATTGGCTGGCAGTGCTCTAAGATGGTGCTACACATTCGTCTGGACAGCTTTTTCGTTTCTGGGCGTCTTAGAACGTGGCAAACTGCCAAAAATGGATCCGGAGAAAGCAACCTCATTTGCTGAGCTCGGGAATCCAATGATATTTGTATGATCCAATCAAGCAAACAGCCAGGAGCCCGGAGTGGCCTTTGTTACGAGTACTGAACATCCGCCTTGCAGCAATGGCTTTCCCTGGTTACCGAAGGAATGGATTTCAACCGATCTGCTACAGTATGTCTTAAACATGAACAGCTATTTCAACCTGCTATTTCAACCGATCCGCTATGCTTAACGTGTGTTGTTGATTTTTTTCAGCGGAATCGAGTCATAGGCTTTCTGAGGCGGTGCGAAATAGCATTTCGTAGCCATCCACAGCATGGTGAAACCCAACCCCAGCCGGGACTCGGGGTGGCTGGTCTTTTTGTAGGAATCGGACCCCCCAGCATGGAGGAAGCTATGGCCGAGACAGGTTTTGACCCTCTAGGTCCCCCAGTGCCCTTTTCTCACCCCTTACTTTGGGGGAGATTCGGTTCCCCTAAAAAGACAAAACTCTCGGGTACGCTTCTTCGAGCCTCTCAAATCTGGAGGACCGCTCCGCTTCCGCGGTCAGCCCGTTCCGCTGGCCCTTGATGCGCGTGCCTCGTCAGGATGGAGCGCGCCCCTCGGCGCCGCAGGTGGGCGGTGGGCTGCTTCCTTTGTCCACTTGCGGTCAGAGGAGTCACGGAAGTTGATGTGGAAGTCATGATTTTCTTGTTTTTTTTTTTTTTTCTTTTAAGAAGATGGGTTGAAAGGGAATCTGGAACTAGGACATATTTATCATGTTTTGCTGGTTGTGAATTCGCAAATGGAAGTTGTTCAACTTGTTTTTGTTGGTGGTCTTCTTCTAAATGCAAGTACCAAAAAGCACGAATTTGGCACCCTGTATCGTCTGAATTCTGGACAACTGGCGGTGAAACAAGCTAAGCCATGCTGAAAACTTTGTATTGCTTATTTGGAAGTGTAGAAATTTGGCCGTGGTGATCGGGGGACCCGCCATACGACGATGAGGAAAACGTCAGCCCTTTGGGTTCACGCATCCCCTGGCGCCGCTGCAGCACTTGTGTTTCTTTGCGTATATGATTTGAAGCATAGGTGGCCTTTGTAGGTTAGTTTGGTTGAACATATATGGCACTGTTTGCAGGCTGGTTCTGTAAAATTATCAGTGGCACCTATGTTACCAAAAGGACACCCATGGTCTGAAAGTGAGTCATATTTGACTACGTAAATATGAGGTTGCTTTATCCGAGAGTACCCTTCAAAGGGGCTGGTTTGAAGGGACATCAAGTCGGAAACCACCCACATTCAAAATACGTATCTTGACACATCCCAGCTACCTATGTAGGAAACCAGCTATTTTCCTTTTGGTGTTGAAAGGGTGGCAAGCCCTTGGTCTACAAAACCAGGTAAATGGATCCACTTGGCATAACATGCGGCGCATCCCGGACTTCATTCCGGTCTCCTGTCCTCCCAGGCCGCTTTGGCTTTATGAGCTTTGTGGGGTACCCTGGGGTCTGAACGGGACACCAAAAGGAAAAACACACCATGTTGGCTGTGTCCCACAAAAATACACACCCATATGCTGTAATTGTTCGCGGAGTAGGAATACTTTGTTCTGTATGGTCAGCGTCCCTATGCGGGACATGGCATCTGAAATGTTCAAGGATCCTTGTCATGGGTGCTGTAAGAACCTGAGCAATTTGCAGCTTGTCTTGTGCTACAAGCAGACCCTGGCCTGCTTGAATTGGTCAAATTCAAGCCATCTCAAGCCTCAGGCACTCACTCCCTGAGTTCCTGGACTGCTTGACTGCTATTGGCTTGGATCTTTAGACTTTAACTTTTTGGAAATAAAGGGGTTTTCCACTAAACCCCCAGAAAGCTAAACCGTTTGCAGGGGGGTCAACAGCAACCAAGACTGCATATGTTGGGTTTGGACCAGAAAACGGTTTGGATGCGCCTTTTGCGGATCTGACCCGTTCTTCCCCTCTTGGCCCTTGTTTTGCTATCTTTTCGTGTTCTTGCAATATCCTGGAGGGGTGGATCCACAGATTCGCCACATCCACACAGCGTCTAGAATTTCCGTGGCCACCAAAAACAGTTTTTTTCTTCTGGCCAATCCATTCAAGTGAGGTCCGGGAGTTGGCCGAAGCTCGACTCAGCCAGGTGAAGCCGTTGGGCGTGGGGGAGACTCTTGGATGCACCTCGCCCCATGCCGGGGACGTGGATGCGGCCGGGGCCCCGCCTTGGCTTCGGATGGAGGAATTCTTCAGGTGCTCAACCCGAAAAAAAAGAGAACAACAAGCCAAAAAAACAACAAAACGGTGGAATGGTTGCAAGAACGAAGTACACCGAACGCAGAAAAGTTGGGATTGGTGGCTTATCCAGTTGATAGGACTTCATCTATGGTGCGTTTGGTGGATGTCAAGTCCACCGAACCGCTTGGAACCCCGAGAATCGGCTGTGAACCCCTCCAAATGGTTGTGGCCTGGTTGCCCAAGAAAACTCACGCCCTGGACGAGACACAACCACGTTCGACGTTTGTGTTTGAGTCAGTGGGCACAGCCCAACAAAGATTTAGCATAAAGGACGCTGATATAATTTGCCAGGAGCCCTGTCCGCTTCCATGATTGTAGGCAGGGAATCTTTGGGGAGACCAACTTTGTTTGTTTTTGTACCGAGCCTCTCAAGCACGGGCCCCAACAAGCTGGGCCCAAATCGTTGAATGTTCCTTTTGATTTGCCAAACGCTGACAAGGTACTCGTACCTGAAGTTTCTCCTGACCGCTGTAACAAAAATGAGACCCACAAGAAAGGGGTCGTGTTGAATTCCCCATGTTTGACCCCGGTTTTTCTTTTTCTTTGGGGGGGTCATCCAACGGTTCCATTTTTTCTCTGTACAACCAACCCAAAGAGGGTACCGAATCCAAAAATGACAGCCCATTCGAGTGACTCCAAGTAAACAAAGCTAGAGGTTGCGCCGAACCCGTGGTACTGAGTACTGCGTTGCGCAGGTGATCAGTTTCTTACACATTAAGTTGTTGTTTATTTATATGGGTGTGTCCCGGAATCCCAAAGACATGATTTCTTCTGCTTCCCCGTTAAAACGACCACCTCACGCAACGGTACTTTTGTATATATAAATAACAAGACAAAAACCGACCCATAGACAATTCGCACCGCATATTGTTCCTATATGTGTTTAGCTGTTTTTAGTTGGTTTAGTGGTTGGGTTCCGAATTTAATCCACTCTTAGTTGGAAAACTGTGAGCAGGGGATCTGAAGGCCTAGTTACATATTGCAGTTGAAACACTTTTGGCGCTGCAAAACCCTGGTTGAGTTGCTGGGAAATTACAGGGCTCCCGACTTGCAATACATAGGGCATCCGATCGTGTTTGTGTTTCGAGCATTTGGTTGCAGACGGCCGCCAACGCGAAACGGGAATTGTTTCCGAGCCTTTGAAAGACCGATGACAATGCCAGGGATCCGACACCTGACTTTGCGGAGAATGGACATGTCGCAAATCCAAGTTCGGGCATTCGGATAGCCTTTCGACATCTACTGCGCGGCTTCATCGTTCGGAACCCTGGGAGGGTGTTTCAGGGGATGACCAAGAAACCAACCCGAATGAATACGCCAGTGGATCGGATGAGGCTTCCTTTCAAGTTGAGAGCCTTTTCGTGTGCCCCAACTTGTTCCAAACTTCAACATGCTGTTGGGTATCTTCCCGGGGGAGGCTTCATTAAACAGACCGCTTCTTTCGGAGGGGGAAGAAAGCCAGTGGCGAGGTCATTTTTGTGTGCGACGGCCGGTTCCACCTGGAGAGTGCCATGATCCAGAACCCGCGCGAGTGCCCGGTGTGGGTGTTGTTGGTCTCCTTCTACAGGAAATTGGGCCAAACTCAGGGTTTTTGGTTTTGGTGGGTATGTGGCGGGTTTGGTGGGGTTTTTTAGCTGGGTCTTTTCAGGTGGGTCTTTGCAATTCCCAGGAGCTGGCTGCTTGCAACAGGACTTCAACATGAAGATCACCCAACATTAAAAGCAGGGATACCAGATAAAATTGGTAATGCCAATAAGAGCATGACAGCGGTAGTCAAGAAAGAAGAAGAACATAATGGGATGGACTTTAAAATAAGGATTTAGAATTGGTGTCCAAAAGCTGAGATGTGTCAGACATGAAGATATACCAGAGATTAATAATCCTAGAGGGTGACAAGTCAACAAAGAAGTGGATAATCGTGGATGTGACTCTAGGATATACCACTTTTGGAGATCCTTGAAAGATATATAGGTACCACATAATTTCCAAGTCCTCCGAGAAATAACTTTAGAGCTCCGGCTCAGCCGACATTGTCCTCTCCCTTTCGCCTGCTTCCTCTCTCTCTTTTCTCCTCCCCCGTGTGTTCCCTCGTCCTCTCCCTCTCTGTCTCTCCGCCCCATCCTCCCCATCCTCTCAATTCTCTCTCTCTCTCTCTCTCTCTCTTTCTCTCTCTCTCTCTCTGTCTCCTTCTCTCTCTCGCTTTCTCTCTCTCTCTCTCCTTCTCTCTTTGTCTCTCTCTCTCTCTCTCTCTATTTCTCTGCTTCTCTGTCTCTTTCTGTCTCACTCTCTCCTTGCCTTGTCTCTCTCTCTCTCTCTTTCCTCTTTCCTCTCTCTTTCCTCTCCTTGCATCTCTCTTTCCTCTCTCTTTCCTCTGTGTCTCTCTCTTTTTCTCTTTCTCTTTTCCCCATCTCTGTCTGTCTCTGTTTCCCTTTCTGTCTCTGTCTCTCTCTCTCTCTCTCTCTCTGTTTCTCTCTCCGTTTTTTTTTGTCTCCGGCAATGTCTCTCCCTCTTTCTCGGTCGCTGTCTCTGTCTCTGTCTCTGTCTCTCCCTCTTTCTCGGTCTCGGTCTCGGTCTCTGTCTCTCCCTTTTTCTTGGTCTCTGTCTCTGTCTGTGTCTCTCTCTCTCTCTCTCTCTCTCTCTCTCTCCTTCGCTCTCTCTCTCTCTCTCTCTCTATGTTTGCATTGTAGCATCATGTCCCCCTGAGTTGCCTCGATTTCCGTGCACTGCCCCTTCATGACTCCTGAATTGTCTTCGTATGACTGGCTTCCCCCTTGATTTCCCCTTCATGTCCCTTTCATGTCTCGTCATTTTTCGAGGATGTCCTCGTCATGTCCCCTTCCATTCCTTTCAATTCCCCCTTCATGACCCTGTCATTTTCTCGGTATGTCCGCTTCATTTTCCATGTATTCATTGCCAGTCATTTCCCTACATCTCCCTTCGTCTCCTTTGGTTTTCTTGTCCTTTGTTTGCTTTGCAGTCCTCCCTCACTCCCCCTGTTTTCATTTCTTTCCCCTTCATGTCCCTTTCAGTTCCCCTTCAGGTCCCTTTCAGTTCCCCATGCTTTCCTGTCATGTCAACTTCCCGTCCCCCGCATGTCCTTGCATTTCCCTTGATTTCCCTCATTTCCCTGCACTTCCTTGCATTTTCCCTTCGCTCCCCGGTATTTAAAAAAAACACACACAGTTGTTTCCCACGTTTTGGCAAAAAGGATGTCAAAAACACAGAGGTTTTCCAGATTTTCGGAAAAGGGGGCAGAAAACCCGAACCAGCAAAGAGCCGGCAGGCAAATTTGAGTTTGGGAACCCTTTTTTTGCTTTCTGAAGACTATACGTGGGGGACTCCCCCCCCCCCCCCGCCAAAACCCTACGTGTCAGACGTCGGGCGGGGGGGGGGTTAAGGGGGGGGTTATCCTCTATCCGAACTCTATCCTCTCTTAAGTATCCGACACGCCTCCGCAACGTCGGCGGACATCATAAGAAAGCCATGCCACGCAACACTAATATTATAGAAGTTCTGGTTTTCTGATTCATTTTAATGCATTTTTGTGATGAGTGTAATTCTATTCGTATAAGGACTGATATTAACGATATTAATGCACCGGAGATTCCAAGGATGAATCCAGATAATGAATAAAAGACTCCTAAGCCTTTATGACTACAGTTTTAAGTAGTGAATGAGATCATATAGTAAAACAATGAAAGCGACATATTTGACATGATATTTGTCTAGATGTTTAATCATTGGCTTGTCTTCGTCTAGCATTACCAATTTCTTTCTTATTTGTAGTTCTGGGGCCACCGGATGGACAAGAGAAAGGACGTGGTGGGAGAATAGAGGATAGGGATGGATGATAAAAGGGACATGATAGCCATACAAGCTTCTCCGTAAACATATGCACCATTATTTAGTTATTCCTTTATGTATGTATTTATTTGTTTGATTCATGTACTTTCATTCATAAGCATGTTTTTTTTTTTAAACGTTGAGCCCTCAAACTACCCTTAAAATCAGAGGTTGCCCCATAATTTTTGGCAATACACAATTTGCGTGGGTAGTTCGAGGGTCCAGGTAATGTGGATGCCTCGAATATTGCAAGTAAACCCACCACACACCTAAGGAATTTACAGGCCATATCTAAGGCATCCGCCGTATCTTGTGACGATCGGGCCTTGGCTTTTTGGCTCGCAGGCACCTACGGGGCAACTTCTTCCGGTACGACCCCGCCTGCCTTACGCTCACGTGCTGCTGGCATTGGGTTGCCGCCTTCTTGCTTTGGGTGAGATTACCTTTAAACTGGGTAGTTCCCAACGTCCCCTTAGCTTTTAGCCACCTAAACCACTAAAAGTTAGAGACTTGTAGCAGGAACAGCCCAGGAAAATGGCAACCCCCTCTAGTTCATCCGGGGGGTTAATCTTGGGTCGGTAGGTTTTTAGGCAGGCCAGTTTAAAGCGATCTTCCTCTTGCTGGGGGATGCAAGGGTGGCAACCTCTTGCGGATACACAACTTCTGCCCACTGACCCTCGACCGGCGCCCGATTCTCCGAGATGCTGTTCGGCCCAGCCGTCCAGTATTCGCTTGCCCCGTAAGGGATGAATATGACTTGCAGTGTTTGTGCGGTGTTTTACCATGAAAGTCTGGGTCGTCTGCGGGTGTGTGAACAAAGGAGGTTTGCTGATACTTGTCAACATGTCAACATGTGGCACGTGTTTTGTTTGGGAATGTGTCAACAAAAAAGATCATGGGAATGTGTCAACCGTACCCCAACAGCCGCGGGAAACCCACCAAACCTCAAGAGGAGAGTACTGCTTGTGGCTCTTGTTTTACGCCAAGCTCTAAAAAGGAAGCTAGCGCGTCAGCCGCCAAGGAAACTGGTCAACCTGACACCTGGCCACACCAACCCCTCGCAAATGGCACAAAGAAGTTGGCAATTGGTCACTGGAACAGAAGCAGCTCTGTGCAGCTCAATATGCTTCCAAGGAGCCAACGCCTCTTCTCTTGTCGTCCTGGTATTCCAGTGGATGACTTCCCACCAAGATGCATGGCCATAAAGACAGAGGGGCTAGTGCGGCTAGTGCGGCTGTCGGGAGCTCTGAGCAGTTGCATGATGTTGCATGGTGCTCTATTGTCAGAGAGCTCTTAACTTGGGAACGCCGCACCGGGTTTGGATTTCAGGCAGTTGGCGGAAACAAAACAGTCCGATCAAGCAGATGTGCCGAGAGGCGCGCGCGAACCAAACAAACACCTCCTCCAAAGTTGCCCTGGAAACACCTCGTTTGCGCGATCCCGTGTTAAGAGCTGCCAAATCTATGGTTTCACGTGAAGGCTTGCTGCCTGCCAGTGCTTTTGGAGGACTTACTTGTTACACAGATCGTTTCAGTGCCCGACTGGGATGTTCTCAAAACAGACCAGGCCACGAGGCAGTCATAAATGCTTCCAAAGGTCGGGGCTTTTCCTGAGGGTGGTAAATAAGTTTGCCAACTTCTCAGGGTTGCTCCAAGTCGTTCCGCGGTTTTATCGCTGGCTAGAAGCTTGGGAATTCGCTTCCTTTGGTCAGGTCTGTCAGGTATCCACCCTGTTTGTGTTGCCAATCCACACAACTTGGAGGATCCTTGACCAGAAATGGCTCCCCCGAAGCAGTTTCCTTTTTTGGGTTTACACATTCTGGGGTGCTAAAAATGCCCCATGTTCAATTTCGCCCAACGGATTCGCCTAACGGACACCGAGAAGGGATGGCTTCTTGTTGTTTTCCAGACATTTTTCGGTCCTCAGGTACTGTTGACCAGTCCCCTACTTGCGCATGTCTTTTTGCAAGGGACCCCCCCTAGAAATATTCTGAAAGCAGTGCTGTGAGCGCTGACCTCTCCAAAATCTGTGGTTGCCCCTTCAAAACCACAAAACAACACTGTGCACTTCGCGCAAGGCGCGAGGGCTTCGCGCACGCGGAGCTGCATAAGAGCCGCAAGGCGGCCATCGCGGCGGCGAAGGACGCGAAGAGCGCCGCTCGGGCTGCGGTGGAAGTCGTCTCCTCCAAAACGATCTGGAAACGATCTGGGTGTGTCATTTGGGTGGCTCGGCTTTGGTGAGGGGAACCCCAAAATCACGGGTTTTTGGGTTTGTGGGGAAGATGGAGGTCTCCTAAAAACTGCGCCCTTGAAGTGCCGTGGCGCGTTTTGGCAGCGCGGTTACTCGTATAGGAGTTGGGAGGTCAGAGGTTTTAGGACCTACTTGGTCGGACTGATGCATCCAAGCTTGATGATCTATCGGATTCCGCTCATGCGCGACATGGGAAAGTCGGTGCCGTGTATTCCGTGGATTGAGCGGTGAGCTCGGCTGGCCATGAATTTGCTTCAAGGGTGTGTGGGAAAAAGGCGATCTTTGCCGACGGAACACCAGCAGAGGGTGAGAAATAGATCCGTTGAACAAATGGGTTCAAGGCTATCTCAAGGCACAGGGTTGGTTTCAGACGCCCTGTGGATTCTTCGAGGCTTTGCTATGTTTCTCTGGTTGGTGTTTTTTGTTCACCACCAAAAAGGCGGGGGATGTTGGAAGCGGGAAGTCGATCCCTGTTCTCCCTTGGATAATGCAGATTTTGCGCCAAAAGACTGCGCAAATCCGCGGTTGGGGCAGACATGTTGTGTATGTTAGGATGGGTTATAAGATATTTAGTTTGCCTTGGTATCAGACATGGAGCTACGAAAATCGGGACCCATCAAAGATATATCCCCCTTGGTGACAAAGGTCAAGACTTGGCTCTTAAAACAAGGAGGGAATGACCCCGAACTGAACTGGGAGTCTCCTCAGAGAAAGAAGCTGCATTTGAGGCTTGGCTAATATGAGCCAGATTCAGATAAAATATGGGCTTGTCTCAATATGGGTGACATCACCTCCTTTAAACCAACCCATTTTTACGGACCCTCAAAAAGTAAACCGACCTGGCCATGTTTTCAAAGTTCACCCTAGTGGGCCAACTGAACGCGGCAGGCATCCGGATGCTTCCGCTTCATTCCCGAAAACCCCCCAACCCCCCCCCCAAATAGGCGATGTCCCGGTCTTCCCTGGTGGCTTTTTCATATGAAAACCCACCGAGAACAGGCCCTCAAGCAATACAGGGTCCACATAAGCATGGGTTGGCGGGTCAATCGAACATGTGGATATGTGCACATGTGCACTGGGTTTTTTTGACCAGGCCCTCAAAAATGGTGGGGGTCCCATTGGCAGCAACCCCAAACGGCTACACAAATAAGAAATAGTCCAAGTGTAACCAGGGGTCCTCATGATATGAATGATGTTCAGTCCTGAACCGGGAGCAAATAATCTCGGGCACTTTAACACCTTTCTGTGTGTGTGTTGTTCTCGAGGTACCCTTTACAGTTTGGCTGAAAAGGAAATCAAAAAGGAATGCCTTCAAATTGTGTGGGTCATTGACACATACCCACCCACGCATACCCACGTCTTTTGCACAGAGTGTCAACTGATTTGCTCAGCGTTGCCCGCAAAGCCTTGGACGTGGTTGTGTTGTTTTGCTCAAACCGGGCCACCTTTGAGGGCCTCTCCAGCTTTTGAGGTTCCCCTTTTTGCTTCCCTCCAAACACAAATCAAAATAGCGTATCCTTCATGAACAGACACTGAAATGGACCTACTTCTAAGATCTGAGGTGCCCCAGATGTCTTTCTTGCCAACTGTGTTCTCTTTGCTTCCTGTAAAGCACAGCACGTCAACAATTCAACCAGTCAATTTCTGATATCGTTCTGCCTGCAGCGGTTACAAATTGGGTTCACACGAGAGCCGAGAGCCGGTTTGGCGGTTTTCTCCTGGCAGCCCGTCAAGTCCGGCGAAGTTCTGAAGGATGTCCACTGGAAACCTTTGGGGTAGGGTCAAAGTCAACCGCCCATGGCAGTCTACCTGCCATGACTCTTTGAGGCTGTGCCTTTTTTGGAATGGGCACGCTCCCTCAGACCATGGAAGCTCCCAGAAGGCCTCTGTAAATGGAACCAAGTCTTCCAAAGGGTCCTGGGAGCTTCCATGTTAGCCCAGGGCTTGAATCTTTTCGGGTTTGGAGCAAATTTCGTGGCAAGCCAAAAGTGTGGTTACTTTCTTGGCCAATCCACTCGAGACGTGAACGCCACGTTGGTGTGTGTTTCAAACCGCCGAGGTGGGTCTCGTCTTGGGCACCCTGGGCCGGCAAGGCAGCGTGGGGGTGCTCGAGGAGATCGAGCGACTCCTGGAGCGACTAGGCGGGGGTGGCTGGGTCCATTGCTTTGCTCCAGCCAAAGGCGGTCCATTTGTACCCAAAATGGCTCACACAAGAGTACTGCAGATGCAAATGGAACACCCTTGGAGGGTACTGGGATGCGTTTTTTGCGGATTTCACCTGTTCTTCCCCCCCGGGTCTTTCTTGTTTTGTAGTCTTTGAGTACTCTTTTAATATCCTAGAGGGATGGATCTACACATTCGCCACATCCAAAATGGTTTCTAGATTTGCGGGTGTGATTTGGATGTAGACCATGCCCAAAGCCAACCTTCTGGCCTTTCAGTTTCCCCCCTTTGTCGATGTTGGTCATGGCCTCAAAGCGATCGCCTTGTGAATGTATTTCTTGGCCCAAGCTTTTAGCTTTGCAGCTAAGTGGAGGGTGGTTTTCCCCAATTTTAGGAGAAACTGGTCACCTCTTTCCCCGCCTTGGGTGGACGAAGATTGGAGCCACCGAAGCAGTCTGCCAAATTGCCCTAATTCAGTGGCACCTTGGTTTCTTTTTTTTTTTAAGGGTGTCCATTTTGAAATCAGCCAAAAAAAACGAGTTGCCCCATGTTTATCCATATTTCCCCATGCCCACTGGGCTTCTGAGTTGTGACTGTTAGGGTTTGGAGGCGTGTCCACCTGTTGCAGGGTTCCCGACTAAATGCTGTATTGGCCATCTTGACCCACCTTTGCCAGCTGCCTGCATGAACTTCTGGCCATTTTCTACGAACAGTTTTAACTTTGACTGCTGGCCAATCTCGACCGGATACTTTGAGGACCCCGAAAGCATCCATCGGACGCATCGCAGATGTCACGTACTTCACCATCCTGCTGTCGGAGATCTCCCCGGAGCGTCTCGCGCTCATGCCGCTCGGATCGATTGACCCTCGAATCGGGGGGTGACTGAATTCGTTAAGGCCACTTAGCACCTTGGGATTGATGTTAAACCCGGATGAATAAACCCCTGTTGATTAATATGGGGGTGTTCCACTAAAGTGATGAATCCAACCACTAACAACCAAGGACACCCCCACCTTCATAAACCTCCGGGGTCCACCTACCGGAAAAAGTAGGCGACGTGTGTGGTTTTCATCACCTTTTCGCCCATTTCAGGTGAGTTCTATCCCTTGGATGGGGTGATACTGTGGATGGACGAAATCCATTTCGCACCACCTAAGAAACCCTGGAATGATCATCCCCCTGTAAATACCGACAAAGAATGGTTTTTGCATGGCTTCAAGGTGGTGGCATGATTTTGTCCATCCACAGGCGAACTAACTTAGGGGCAGCCACCGCCGGTGATGTTCACAAGGCCCAGAATTGGAAGCCCAGCGTCTCGGATCGCGAGGCCCAACGTGGATGCCTGGGTGCAGGTGGCCTGTCCACGTCTCTCCATGGACTGGGGAAGCTCATACTCGAAGCCGATGCCTTTTGGTGTGCACCAAGCGCTTTTTTTCCCCTTGGCAATTGGACTTGGTCCCTGAGAGTCGCTCACTTTTTGAGTTCCTTTTTGTTGTTGTTTTCTGTTGTTTTTTCCCCGTTTTGTTTGTTTGTTTCTTTCGGACTTTAGTCACTTGGTTTGGACCTTTCGAGCCGGACACCACAAATTTGGACTTGCGTCGGCGAAATCTTGACTCATTGCATGAGGGTCTGAAACAGCTAAACTCGCTTGGGTTTTTCTTTCTTCAGGGTATATTTTCTGTGAGGTTTTAAAGGGAAACCAACAGGGAAGCCACTATGTGGGGCTGTGTTCCCGCCCAAAAAGCACACAGACACACGTTGTTGCTAGTGCTTGGTTTTCAAGAAACTCCCCTCCGTTACGACCAACAAAAATCTGCCTGGCTCCCTTGCCGTGGGTTGCGCTTGGAAGAATGTACAACGGATTCCCGTCGGCCTTGTCCCCTTGTGGGAATGCCCCAAAACCAATGAGAGGAATTTACTTCACTGTTCTTGGCATGTTTTTTAGTTTTGTAGTTTTTTGTCTCTGTTCAATTTTTACTGGGGGTCTGCAAAAAACAAAGTTTTTTGCAACCATACCAAGAGTAGATATGTTTAACTAGATTAATCTTGCTGGTGCGAGAGATGCATTGAATGAGAAACGGAATGACCTGAATAAGCCATCCCTTGTGGTTTCCTTTCAGGGGACCCCTGGGTTCATTCCCACATTTCCTACTGAGCACCAGCAAATAATTTCATGTCGGTTTCTTTTATCCCTTAAAATTCAACACTCCCTTTGGCCCGATGCTAAGTGTTCAGAATGCAGGCATCCTTATCCCCATGCTTTCAGTTCCCTGTATAGTGGGGAATCAGGCGAGGCCTTCACATAAACAGCTTGGTCAAGCGCCCTGGTTGGGAACTGGAAGCACTGGGCACAACTTTGGGAAGACCTGATTTTTCACGCCAGTTGTAAGGGCTCGTAAGGAAGCTATGACCGTGGTTCGGTCAAACTTATCCTAACTTGTCTATAGTTAATCCGGGATTGACCTTCGTGACTTATTGCATGTCCAGCAAAAGCCAGGGGACTATTTTTGTTTGACTATGAGTTTGACTCTTTCTCATACAAACTTGGAAGTCTAATTAAAGGGACAGTATTCCAAACGTGGTGTGCATGCTCATGCTTGAGCGAAGGTGTCGAGATCTGATGAGTCGTGGCCAAAGAGGCCAAATGGTTGGCTCTCAAGATGAACCAAGGGGGTTCATAGGGTTCGGGCATCCGCTCTGGGAAGCAAGTGATGGCCCAAAATCGGAAGAAAAAAGCACACTGCAGGGGTTCTTGACCCCATGCAGAAATGGAACTATGTGTTACTTCTATTATTCTCTGGGACACGTCCGACAGCTGGTTTGAGACATTCCCCAACCAGTAGGTACAGCTCTTAGCTGTATCTCTGAAAGGCTGTTGAAGCTAGATATGGCCAGCGGGTTCTGATTCTGTGGCCCGCCAAAGATGTCACTGAGTTTTCTTCAGCTGTCTCAATCCAAAAGGGTCCTAGCATTCATTTGTAGTGGCTTCCCACTAAGGGTTCTGCCAAAGCGGCAATCCATTTTGAGCAGCGCAGCCATGCGGCTGATTCCCAGCAGGTTGCAGCCGCCGCAGAAAGATTGACAAAAGCATGACTTGCGACAACTTGCAATCCTTGTCATTGCTAACAAAACTTAAGTTTAGGACATTCACGGAATCCACTGAATCTAGTGCAACCTGCCTGAGGCTGACCCCCTACGAGGCACACGTGGCCTTCGGAGCCTGCCCCTCAATCTGCGATGCCATACTGGGGGTGGAGGAAATCAGTTCGCACCACCTAGGAAACCAATGGGAAAACCATTGTTTGCTGGTATTTACAGGGGGTAATCGAATCATTCCAAAGTTTCTTGGGTGGGAAAACGGATTCCGTCCACCCACAGTATGACAATGAAGGGGAACATCCCGGGGTCTGACTCATTCGTGGCATGTGACATTTTCACCAGTTCGTAATGGTCCTCAACCTTTTTCAGAGGGAGTATCTCACTTCCTGAGTTCCAGGAAGTGAGGTTTAGACAACCGACAACCATTGTAAAGGTTCCTCTCAGATTTCTCTTACTTTCGGGACCCATGAGCACCCATATGCTCAAGCTTCTCGTCTCCAAAATCGGATCTCCATGCGGGGCAAGCTGGGGCCAGCGCGACGACACAAAATGTTTTCAACGGGCTCCTTGACCAAAACAGCTGGTGATTCACGTCACTGCATGGCAGTCCATGCCTACATTTACCCTCCACTTGGGTAGGTCTTGCTTGGATTGTCCAAGAATTGTCCCCGCGTAGCGGGACCGCGTGGATGGACGGACGATCCCCAGAATGGATCGAGGAGACAGGCACAGAGTCCATGCGCGCACTCCGAGCAGCCGGAAAACGACCCGCGGATCCTGGTTAAAATCCAGCTGTGGACAGGCAATGAGCGTCTTCCAGGAAGACGGCAATGAGCGTCTTGCCCGATTTTCGTCTCCAATTTTCAAGCTCAAGTCAGGCATATGCGCAACTGCGACCGTTTGGGACTCGGCTCGGAGCTTAAGGAAAGCTCCACGCATCGGGCGCGGTGAGCTTGGACTGAAGCCGCCGACCGCTTCCAACTCGTGAGTGCGCACAGCTTCCAACTCCTGGGGGGTTCGTCCCAAAGATCCGTGGCCTTGAAATTCTACGGCCACCTTGCCGTGCCCCAGCCCATCTGGAAAGTAAACCACCTTGAAACAGCCTGTTTGACATGGTCAAGCCGTTTGTTCCACAACACTCACACCCACACGCGCACACACATACACACCTGCACAGGGCAGGGGTACCGCTGCGCTTTCAGATCAACTCTGCTTCCGCAGCTAACATGCTCGCAAAGAACAACGACTGCGCTCACGGCCCTTCTTCTGCACCTCTTTGGTTTCCTTCTCCGACTTCAGTGTCTACCCAAAAATTGTAAAGTCCTTTCTGTGGCCATCACTCTATGGATCCAGAGCGCCCCCAAGAGGTGTTACTTCCACAATGTCTACATGGTAGACGTTGTGGCAGTAAACCCTATCTGAGTGCTCTGGAAAGGCGCAAGGGCTCGCCTGGAAGGACGGCCTGAGTGTTTTCCCGCAGAATCGCCAGAAGTTGGCGGGGAGGCAAAAGTTCGCCCGAAAGAGCCCTCTGAACTGACTATACCGAGACCACCTGAGACCTAGAGGAAAAACAACGCTGAAGCCAATTTGTCCAGATCCCCTCACTGATCCACATGGATCCTGAGACGAATGGAATCAATAACAAGAGAACAAATGTCCTCGGGACATTCAACGAGTTGATCCAGTTCTCTTTTGCCCTCTGGATCAGGGTGGGAAGAGGTTGATTCGCTTTGCGATACCAGGGAACCAGAAGTGCTAACTCCACACAGTGTGTGTCAAAATCGGGGGACCCCCAAAGCGGTGGTTTCGTTTGGCTTCCTTTCAGCCAGCTTCAAGATGGGTTCCCTCCAGAAAACATGGCCCCCGTATGGCATCTGGGCTCACGTCTCTCAAAAGGAGATGGGAGTGCTCAGATTGGCCAATCCTCGTAACTCCCATTGAGTTGGTTTACCGAAACTACGATATAAAAGGGGCAAAGCAGCCCTTCAGCCCTCCCTTTCGCAAAAAATCATGAAGCGCGCGTAGCCAACCTGCTAAGCTCGGGCAGTCAGGCCACACCTTTTCAGCAGGATGGATGAATGGGTCCAGCGCAGCTGCTCAAGTCATTTTGAGACATACACATATAGAGTTTGATGCACTGTATCTGAATTTATGTTTGCACAATTATTTACGTTATAGGGCACCAACGGGGTTGATATTCCATCGCATTCAGCATCCTCGCTCTATCGCCAAATCGCCATGTCGGTGGCCATCGTCACAGGGGCGAACCGCATCCCGGGGATCGGCTACGAGATCGCTCGAGGCTTGGCACGCCGATTGCCCGAAGGGAGCACCGTGGTGATCACCGCCAGGCGCGAAACGCGAAGAAAACCGATGGGGGGGTGTCTCAACATGGATGGCTCGAATTGTATTGAGGGGATTTTCATGCTGATTTGTTTTTTTTGTTGTTCCGAATGTGGGTTTTCCTGCAAATCCCAGGTCCCCTCAAAACAATCTGGATTTGAAACAAGCTCCGGAGCTCCGGAGCTCCAGCAGCTTTCAGGAAAGGTTCCGGAAGGTTCGGGGAGTTCCGAGGCTTATGTTTTAACCAACTGCAACATGTGGGTGTGTTGTTTTTCAAGGGGCACCCCAAAAAGGTGGCTCTCCTTTTGGTTTCCCCTTCAAACACTTCAAACACTTCACAAAGGGGTACCAACTCAAATCAAGAGGAGACCCACTTAGTAGTTTTTTTGTTGTTGGTGGCGCTTGCGCCTGGAAGGCTCTAAGACCTCAAGTATGTGGATTCAGGTTCCAACCCTGTGCATGAGTGTACCTTGTACATGCTCCGCCGCTACAGACTTCAAGAGCACTATCAGCAGTGTGAAAAGTAGTCAACGGTTTGCTGCTTGCCTAGGTATTACCTTAGGTGGCCTAGGCTTGATAACACAGGTTATCAGCCGTAAAGGCTTGTACAAAGATCGCCATGGCATCCGGAGATAGGCCTGCTATTTACAACATATCTGGAGACGTTGGTGACGGTAGTGAAGGTGCAGTTGCATCCAATGGTCCTGTTGACCCTCGCGATCCTCGAAACGTATTCGGGTTCGCGACAAACTACCAAGCCACCCAGAATATTATGCATGTGCATAACGACACGGGTGACGCTGTTAGGGAAGAGGCCAACACGTTACATCGCGTTGCTATGGATGCTGCAAGGGCGGAATATAGCGCTCATTTGGCAGAAACTGTGCATCGCCTGGATGAGGAGAACAGCCGCCGGACCCTTGAGCTGCACGAGCAGTTCGCAGAGTCCCGCGCTTTCTTCAGCGCCCAGGTTAGCCAGATGCGGGGAGCAATTTCTGCCGAAGTAAACGAAGCTGTGTCGCAAAGAACGGCACAGTATAGCGCTTTCGCACAAAGCTTACATGCTGAGACTGTTGTGATGGAGAACTCGGAGAAGGCGGTCGGTGAGCAGAGAGACAGTATTTTGGCGGAGAATCACGCCATGCAGGACACGATCAACGGGCTGAACGACACCGTTGAGCGTCTGAGGAACGATCTCGAAAAGGCGCAGCGTGAAATGGTGCGCGGAGATCCTCAGCCTGCGTCAAGTGTACAGAACGTCAGTTCGGAGTCGTTTTTGGATAAGAGGGGCAGTATCTTTGATGATCCGCGTCTTTTTCCAACGCAGAATGCACAAACTTCTGGAACTATGCCACAGATTATTCCACAGCAGAGTTGGACTGATCCTATTTCTGGTGCAATGCAGTTTGATATCAAAGATCATGCGAGACGGTCTTCGGAGCAAGAGAACAGCCGAAGTCAGCAAAATCAGCCGAACATTGATCGGTTGACTGGTCCCGAGACCACCGAGGCGGAGTTCCGTGCGGCCCTCCTCGGCTTCGTCCGGAATCAGCATGATCGGCCAAAAGCAAAGGAAGCCGATTCGCTGAGGCTGAGTGAGTTTCCCACTCCTGAGACCTATAGAGCCTGGAAAACGGCTACTCGCGAAGAGATTCGGGCTGCTTCAGATCGGCCTGATGCTGCATTCACCTGGGTTAACAAGGTGTACGTCAACCGGGAGGACAAGAAGAATCTCATGTTAGAGCTAGGAGATCCAGAGCAGTTTGAAACGTTGGATACAAAGCTTCTTGCGGCCTTGTCGCGGATTGCTAGGGGCGACCTTAGTCGGCAGATCCTCACCTACAAGGAGCAACAAGCTGCTTTGGACAAAGTTGTCCGTGGACGTCAAGTTCTTCTCATGTTTGAGCAGTATTTCAGAACAAATGAGGAGGCCGGAGCGTTGTATTCCACTGAAGATTTGTTGAAGGTGGTGCTTCATGGCAATGATTTGATGACCTTTATTCAGAATTGGGATTCCGTCATTGCTGGCATGAAGATCGTTCCGGAGCAGCACGTCTTGAAGGACATTTTCTTGCGACAGATTCGTGGATGTCACAAGATCAAGTATGACCTCGATACGTACGAGCGTGCAAAAGATGGGTCGTATGACAAGAGCTACGAGTTTCTTGTTCAAGCCGTTCGTGATGTTTTGACTCGGGAGCGATTGCAGTCAAATCGTGATCGTGTTGCTCGAGCTCACAATCAGAAGGTCGGTGCTCCAGCTCCCAATGCAAATCCTGGGCGTGCAAGAGATCCTTCAGCGGTCAGGTATTGCTATGATTTTCAGAAAGGCAAGTGCACTCGGGATAATTGCATTTACAAGCATGAGAAAGACCCAAGACCCCCGAGCCAAAATCCGAAAGGAAAAGGTCGGGGGCGCTCTGACAGCCAAGCGAGAGACAGGGATCGGTCGGCATCGAGAAAGAGAGCGGAGCTGAAGAAGATCCCCTGCAGGTTTTTCAAAGGCGGTCAGGGGAAATGCACTCGTGGAGACAACTGTGCGTTTTCGCATGAGACTCGGTCTGCTGCACCAGCAACAGATAAGCCGAGCCCAAAGAAAGGAGCCAGCAGAGGTAGGTCTCCCACCCCAAAGGGAAAAGGGAGGAAGCGATCCCAGAGCAAAAAGGGCGAGTCCTCAGCCGCTGTGTGTCTGAGGGTGAAAGAGACCAATGCATGCCTCGCAGCATGCCGCCCAAAGCAAGATTTCTGGGAAGTTGACTCGGTGAACGAGATGGTTATTCGACACCATGTGATGCCTCGAAAAGCGCTTTATGATCCGAAGAGTGCAAAAGACCTTCCGATTTCGCTGGAACGTTTATTGGATCAGCGCATCACCAAAGCCAACATCAATGGCATAGAGCAAGTATTTGGTGATTTCTGGGCGGATCCTGATGAAGGTTTGGAGCAATACTGGACTGGGCAAACAATTTTCATTTGCAGCACAGATGTTTCCAATACCCGCAGATGCGTCAAATTCGCAGACAATGTCGAGATCGTCGAGATCGAGGCCAACGGGCTATGCCTATCATGTGCTCCAAAGCCGAATGACCCTGAGGTTGTGTGGTATGATGGTTGTGCGCCTGGCTCAAATCCCAAGGATCTGATCGATGCTAAAGACAAAGCTTTGATTCTGGAAGGGGTTGTTGACCTGATGCATGCAAACTACAACGCGCCTTGTGGGTTCTATTGCGAATACTATGATGACAATGACCCAATTTATTGTGGTTTATATTGTCCTGGCTGTTGGATTGATGATGATGAAACGAACCTTGACGATGTGCCGGAGTACATTGCTACGCCAGCACCAGCAGGGCTTCGTCAGTGGATTGTCGACACAGGTAGTGAACAAGATCTGGTTGACTCTGAGCGTGCAGTTCCAACACAGGTCAAAGACCTCTATAGGACGCTGTTTTATAAGCTACTATAGGTCGTGTTTCTGCCAGTTGCCTTGGCTGTTTCAAGCCGTGTGCGGACTTAGAGCATGATGCAAACATGTACTCATATCACACGCATATATAACTTACAGGCGTGATCATGCTGATCAAGCCTGTGAGTGTTCCTCCAAATATATACACACACAGACTGTCGCATTTGCAGGTTGTGAAGGGCAATTTGAGGGGTATAGTTTGGCATTGTCATGTGTTTGCTTGGTTTGCTGTGTGCTTGCTGGCCGTTTTTTCAAACTGAGATCATGTTGGCTTTTATGCACGCATGGGCCGAGGGCCGTATAATCAAGAGAGACAAGGCAACAGACTATTAAATATATATATATATATATATATATCAGCAGAACCCGATCGGCGCAGCCAGCGCTTTTCCATGGCGAGCCATGATCCAAACTGCTCGAGAGGGACGTCCTTCATCCTTGGTGTGGAGACAAGGCAGGGGGTCAAAAAAACAATCTCAAAAAGATCCCCCAAAATCAGAAGTGCCGATCGGTTTCCCTAATCACTCTCCCAAAAAACGAAAGTATCGATATCCCGGGCTCCAACAATTGGATCCCGAAGCTATATCCAGCAACCCCAAAAAACAAATCACAATTACCATGTGCGCGGATATGCACAATTTTAAACTTGACTTGCGCGGCCATATTGGCTCCTGCAGACCATGGTGTGCCGGTCGCAAACCCAAAGGCAAGTGCGGGAATGCCTTGCCACACGGGTGGCGCGATGTATAATGAATAGGCTCGAACGCACAGGGCAGCTGCATAGGTGCATGCTGCGTGGGCGTGTGTTCCCACTCGGCTCGTTGCGGAGCAGGGCGGTGGCCCAAGTGTTTGACTGGGCCGCCGCTCCCCGCTACCATGGTCGAGTGTTCACGAAAAGCTTTTGCAAAGCCGTCGTGAACACTTTGCACACCGAGCATGGCGTGACAGCTTCGGAGCCGATGCGTGAGGCTCTGAGGCTGCAAAGAGCTTTGCACAGCGCAAAGCGTAGGGCCCGGCTGGCCATGTCGGCGGTGGACAATGCTGAGACACAGGCAGGCCCCAGCAACTTTGATTGCACTCAATCAGCCACCATGCCCAAATGGCCAGGCGATGGAGGTACTGCAGCGTGGCTGCACATATATATATATATATATATGGTTCCGCGCACATGATTTTCCACAGTATCCACATGCATTTGGCTGGTTATAGCCCCTTACAAAGTTTCACCAACAATGCTGAGGGGCTCGGAGGAGGACAAGCTTCTTGGCGAATTTACGGCATGCGACGGGCTGGTGTCCTAGCTGTTTCTGCTCAATGTTTGACCCAGTCATGTCAAGGGCCTGGTGGGAGGACAAGCTTCTTGGATTTATTGGCGTGTCAGCCCCTCGTGTCATCCAAGGTCCTTGGAGGACAGGCTTCTTGGCGGATTTAGGCAGCAAGCATTCTTGTTTGGTGCCATTTCAAAGCCCAAGGATGCCAAGCCTCAAGTAAAACACATATAGATCAATTGATGTGGTGTTTGAACTGCGTAAATTGTTGGAT